GCATAGAACTTAAAAATAGATCAGTTCCGGAAGTATTGCTTCACCGAAAAAAACGAAAAACAAACAAAGAACCTCCTTCAGCTCTGTTCCTTAAACACCTTATAAATTTCGATTTCAACCCCACTGAACATTTCGATCGTATTTACGCTAACTTGGAATCCACGGGATATTATGGGGGCCACTGCTTGCATTTTTTACTGTTTGCCCTTGGTGTTGCTAATGCTTATGAAGACCAAGTCACGTCTGCTTCCCTCAGCTTTCTCCAACCTTATAAAATTTCGATTTCAACCTCACAGAACATTTTCGACAGTTTCTGCGCTAAATCGGAATCTACGGGATATTTTAAGGACCGCTATTTACCATATTTCTGTTTGCATTGCATTTGGTGTTATTTATGCTAATGAAGACCATGTCACGAAGGTAAACACAATTCTCCTTTGGTTTTTAATCATGCTTTGCATTCATCCTTGTAAAATATGAACTGAAGGCCTTCAAATTTGTACATTGTTAATGTATTTTTCTTACTTTGACTCCGCTCCCACTGTTTTAATGCTTTTCATTGAAAGTTAGTCAGGTTTGTATACATTTGGCAAGAAAAAGCGAATAGGGTCGACGAATGAGTTGGGAAAAAAAATTTGAAAAGGATATGATTCGATTATCATAATTCAAATCAGCTTTGAAGAACCTACATGAAAGCCTTTTAAATCCTCGCCTCTCATAAAGCCGTTTTAAAGTTCGTCAAGTAACTGCGAAATTATTTTACATTGTTTTCTTTCAGTTGAACTATTATTGTATGTTATGTTCCTATTCAATTAAGTTCGCGTTTTTGCGTGAGTTTTTGTAATTATGCAACGCCGGTAGCGTTATGTTTCATCGCCAGTATAGGCGTTGTTTTCGTCAGATAATTTTCATGACCAGTAGATTTCAACTAAGTCAGTCATTTCGTTAGTTTACTTTTGTTTAAGAATTTTATTACCGGATCTGGTTTCGCCACAACTTGTAGGTTCGTTTCTATTTTGTGTAGCTCTGTCGTTATTCTTGTTGTTGCGATATTCGTATTGATGATTAATTACTAGTCAAATGACACTTACACATCTGCACATCTTTACATCCAAATACTTGTCTCTCTGGGAGAAAGATCAAGCGTGCATTTATGTTGTGGCGTAAAACATGTAGTATTAAGCTACATGTACGATTCTATGGATAACCCTCTACCTATTTGTATTCGTTGTTATAATGCAGAGAGTTCAAGTTCACCTTTATTTCAGGGTCTTTCACACCAAACAAGGTCCCTTCCTACCACTTCACCTACGTTCTACTTTAAGCTACCCTACGTAGGCCACTTTTCTGCTATCACTCTAAAAAAACCGCCATTTTATTAAGCGCCATTGCAATGACTTGGATACCAAACTGGTTTTTCTCTTCCTTCAAAATCGGTAACTTGTTTGGTGTGAAAGACCCTGACCCTGACGGGCTCCGTTCACGTGTGGTTTACAAGTTTATATGTGCTGGCTGTAATGCCTGCTATGTCGGTGAAACCTTTTCCGCTATTGTTATTTGCTTACAAGCCCACGTTAATTACGCGACGCGGTTTTTACTCTTGCGAGTGAGACTTTAAAAACAGTCAACTTTTTGCTCTCTTAGATTGATGGTCAGTCGAAAAGATCGAGTCATGCCGCAATTGTACAGTAAATTATCTTGGATGTATGGCCAAATACAGCCCCTATGCCCCTATGTTCTATGTAGACGTCTAATCTAAACTTGACCACTTACCTTTATTTCTATTTTTTCAGAGCTTTTGTTGCTCGGGATCATTAACAGACCTTGTGGCCTTGCACTTTCCATTGCGTTTAAGTGATGGGAGCAATATTGTGCACAGTGAAATTTAACTGAAATAGACAATATTTATTAATCATTAAGAGAAATCAGATGTTATACCTATAATTTTTAGATAGTTCGATGCCGTTAAAATCGAAATTTTAGAAGCTGTTTAAGGAACAGAGCTGACGGAAGCTTTTTGTTTTGGATATGGCAAGACTTCTGAAAGCCACTTTTTATGAACCACGCGCTTCAGTTTGTGAAACAATAACAGGAACACAAAATAAACGAAACCCCGGCTTCACCCCGCTGGTTCTGTTGTTATATCAGGCTACATTATCATTGCCATCGCCCAATAGAGAGTTTTTTTCTGAACAATAGTCAGTAACCACAACTGTAACGTGTGTAGCCGCAATTTGATGAAATGTATCCCCTGTGGAAAACCCTCTTACTTCGGAAAAATAATTCAGGTCGATTGAACAGATTTGTTCGCCGGCTGTTAACCGTGACGTTATCAATAGGAAACAATCGTTATCGGGTGTTAAATATGGAGGAAAAACCACTGGATAACGGAATGGAATACTTCAATTCACCGACTGGAAAGCAAAGGGAAATTTCGGATTGTACTATAAAAAAACATTTTAGAAAGCGTTCGCATAATGCCTCTTTTTCTGAGAGTAAGAGGTCATTTTCCGATCAGATAATTTTTTTTTACATAAATAGATAGGCAATAATGTTAAGATTATAGAAGGGCAATCGCAAGACACTATCATAAATCATTTGATTGAACACCCCTAAAATGCTAGTTAAGATCATGATATGTAAACGCCCCGTAACGGAGTCACTCATCTTTCCTTATAGATGAACGATGTTGTGGATTGAAGTGTGAAGTCAGTTTTCTCGAAGAATGTAACCACACTTATACACACGTGATCAGACGAGGCTCTCCATACGTTCAGTAATATTGATCATAGCGAATTCAATAAAAGACTGAGGAAATCAATAAACGAGTGAGCACTGCCTGTGCTGTTTCATTTACACTTCTTACAGTTATTCTTCGTTATTTCAAAAAAAATAAACAGCGAAAAAAACAAAACGAAACAAAACAAAACAAAACAAAACAAAAAACACAAAAAAAGAAAAATCCAGACCCCTTACAATTGGAATATTACTCTTACATGGTAACAACAGAAGCAGTGGATTAAGCCGGTTTTTCGTTTATTTTCTGTTTTCTGTGTCGTATTTGTTTTTGAAAAATCAAGCGCATAGTACTTAGAAGTAGATTAAGGAAGTATTCCCACATCAGAAAAAAAACAAGCAAACGACAACAACAACAAAAAAGAACAACAAAACAAACAGGCAAAAGACTTCCGTCAGCTCTGTTCCTTAAACACCTCATAAAATTTCGATTTCAACGTTACTGAACATTTCGACCGTATCTGCGCTGACTTGAAATCTACGGGATACTATGAGGACTGCGGCTTGCACTTTATTACTGTTTGCGCTTGGTGTTGCTAATGCTGCTACAGACCAAGTCACCAATGGTAGGCACATTTCTCCTTAAGTATATAGTCATACTTTGAATTCATCTTTATAAAATTTATACTGAAGGCGATCAAACGTGCACGTTGTAAATGTATCTTTCATGCGGGGATACTGCTGTGACTAACTCAATGCTTTCCTTTGAACAAAAGTGAGGTTAGTATAAATTTGGCAAGAAAAGCAAACAGGTTGAGAAAAAATTTGAAAAGGACACAGGTCGATTATCATAGCTTGATACTCTACAAAACAGCTTCCCTCGGCTTCTGTCAGCTCTGTTCCTTAAACACCATACAAAATTTTTATTTCAACCATGAATATTTTGGACCATCTCTGCGCTAAATTGTAAGTCTACGGGATGTTTTTTGAGGGCAGCTATTGGCACCATATTTCTGTTTGCATTTTGGTGCTACTAATGCTGCTGAAGACGATGTCCCCAATGGTAAGCACATTACTCTTTATGCTTTGGATTCATCCTTGTAAAATATGATTTGAAGGGCCTCAAACGCGTACACTACTCTGAATGTATCTTTCTTGCGGGGATTCTGCACTAACTGTTTAAATGTTTTTCTTTGCAAGTACGTTAGGTTTGCATACATTTGGCCAGAAAAAGCGAACAGGGTCGACGGATGGGTTGGGGAAAAAATTGCAAAGGATAGGAGTCGATTTTCATAGTTTGATACTCTACAAATCAGCCTCGCTCAACTTCCGTCAGCTCTGATCTTTAAAAACCTTTCAACCCCATTGAACATTTTCGACTGTTTCTGTGCTAAATTTGAATCTATAGGATATCTAGTTGTACCATATTTCTGTTTGCATTTGGCGTTTCTCTTCAATTAAGTTCGCGTTTTTGCGTGAGGTTGTGTAAGAATTACGTATCGGTGGTAGCGTCTTATTTCTCGCAAGTATAGGCGTTGTTTTCGTTAGATAATTTTCATCACCAGTTGATTCTAATTAAGTCAGTTTTTGCTAGCGCCGTGTCACTTTTGTTTAACAATTTTACTACTAGACATGGTTATGCCACAAATTGTAAGTTCGTTTCTATTTCATGTAGCTTTGTCGTCATTCTTTTTGTCGCTCAAGATTCGTATTAATTGGTTATTTTCAGTCGAATCACATGTACACATCTGGACATCTTAGTCTCTCTTGGAGTTAGATTAAACGTGCATTCATATTGTGGTGTAAAACATGTGGTATTTAGCTACATACACGATTCTACATATAACTCCTTTCGTATTTTTATTCGTTGTTATAATGCAGAAACAGAGTTCAAGTTCACCTTTATCTCATTAAACATGGGATTGAAGGGGAAGGGAAAGTGGATGCCACCCCTCAGGTGGTTTTTGACTTATGTAGTAATCATATCTCGGCAATTCACAGTTTCGTTTACCCAATTCCTACTGCACCATGGCAGATGAAAAAAAATTTTTTGTGTGTCCGGGAATTTTACTCAGTTCTCCTTCTGTGTAGATTCTTTTAATTCTTGAATGTTAGATACAATTTAAAAGATAAGTAAATGGACAATTGTTCCTTGTTTGTCTTTTTTTCCTTTTTCGGTCGGCCTCCTCCCATAAATGTTAGTTACGGTCTGCTCAAAGTATTCTTTCCACAAGGAAATAATTGACTGGAGTACAGCCAAGGAAAAATGTAGCAATGAAGAGAATGGTTCACTTATCTCTATGGAAACCGAACAAGAATGGCACTTTGTCAAGAACTTAATCAAAAAGCGAAAAAAGACACGTTGGTTCATTGGCTTGAAAAGAGTTAATGGATCTCATACGTGGAGCTGGTTGAGTGAAAGCGTAGCTTGGGTCAACGATAGCTCAACTGGAGCATGGCGTTGGAGGAAAGGAGAACCAAACAATTTTGAAACAGAAAAATGCGGAGAGACGACGAAAAACGGAAAGTATAACAACATAAAGTGCCAAGGAGACAATTATGATGACAATCCAGGATATATATGTGAAAAACAAGTCAGTAAGTTCATGATCATGTCGAAGCTATGTTAACCCAATTAAAAATCACAGTAAGAAAAGAAAAAGTTGTAAGCGAACTTTGATTTTGAAGCGAGTGACTCGTACTCATATTTTCTTCCTAGATTGTTCCACCATATCCAACAATCCAGAAAATAATGATATTTTCCTTGAGAGAACAACAAGACCTCGATCAACCCCCCAACCGTTGGTCACAAAGACAACGTCCATCTCATCACTCAGAACTCAAATGGCGTATACTTGGAATAAGCTGCCTTCAGAAGGTAAGATTTACTTCGACGGAAATTTGACATCTAATATAACCCTAATCTATTACACAGTGCTTGACGGGTATCGCACTTCCAAACTCCCCTCCCCTCCCTGTCCACTTTAAGAAAGTGGAAACACTAAATATAAATTCTATATTATAAAGAGGGGGATGAAAGAAAGGAAAATCCCTTTTGGCGAGTACTTTAGCCATCCCTCTTTATGTTTGGCAGTCGCTGTAGCCCTTATCATGATATACCGTATAGAGATCCCACAGTCCTTCAGAAAATATAAATCAGCAATCTGTTAAAGGAAACTTTGATGAATATATTAAAATAAAATTAGTTGATTTTTTACCTTGATCGTATCGACAGCTCGACAGTTTTCTTATGAACAGTTTTAATCGTGTATGAGTTTTCTGCTGGCGAATTCCTTCAATATTTACCGTTAAAGTGGAGACTTTTGAGGTGAAAAAGTAGAAGATTTTATGAAAGAAAAGCAGGCAATATTATTGTTGAAAGATTGAGACTTTAAATGAGGGTATCAGTTTATGTCGAAATGGATCAAAAAGCGCTTTGCACATTTTATGGAATTATTTGTATAATAAAAATGTAATCACAAATTTCTCCTACGTGCGTGATGAGCGAACCATGGAAGTTGTTTGGACACAATATCACTCCAGTTTGCAATTAAATTGAGCAAGGCCGAATAAACTACACCGAGCAAGTATGATTTACGAGGTGACAAGCGTTATCTGATCCCTTTTTCGTTTAACTGACCAGGATACTCTATTTTAGGGTGATGTTGAATGTTTTCCACAATTTGTTGACATTTTGAATACTTACAAGGAAACAAATGGAACGATCGGATATATCGGCGTCTGTCATTTATACACTCCAACTTTTTCTTTTCCTACTTATGGCTTCTCATTTGGTTTCGCATTTCTTTCGGACGCGAAGTAACATAATTTACCACAAATATGATAGATGCTCAGGTGACTGTAAGTTGGCATTGTTTCCGATCCATTCCCCAAATCCTAAAGCATGTTTAGATATTCCGGTACAAGTCACTCGTCATTACAACATTGTGAGCATGTAAGTGAAATAAATTGAGGTATGTAATAGGTTCGTGGGTAGAACTGGAAGTAATGATTTCTACAATCAATTTTCTCGATTGCCTCAGGGTCGTTTTGGAGGCCACAAACACTTAAAAGTACTCGTTTTAAAGAATCAACAACAAAGGTGGCAAAACCCCGCCCCCAACCAACAAATGCAGCATTTTCTACACTGCAAAACTGACACACATTTAAATCCCTAACACAAGGTACAATATAACCATATTGACGTCTATGTCTATTATTATAAACGTCTATATGCTTCTAGTTATTTTTATGCATATCTTAATTAATCTCTATTTGATTGCTATATAATTTCATTTCCTCACTTGGAACATACTGATTACGGAATACGCCTCTGGGTAATAAAATCCAACATTGCTCTCTCTATATAACATAGAAGTGATGTTATCACGAGTGACGTCTCCTTATTCCCCAAAACCTATTTTATAAACCAACAATAAATTTTATTATGACAGTGTGAGGTGTACCGTATAATAACTTCTTCCACGAGTTGACAAGGGAAACAGAGGATATCGGTTTTAGAAAAAGACGAGTGTAAAAAAGCTGAAAATCTGAATAAAAAAGTTTCGGGCTGGAAGGAGTAGAAATGTAACTCGTGAGTTGACAAAATATCTGACTTTTAATATTCTTTGATCGATCACATTGCGTTAAAAGCAACATTCTATTTCACTTGGGTATTGAAGTATTTTTTTTAGAACCTTTTTTTTCGTTAGTGTCCATTGAAACCTTCTAGGTTCAATCAGCCTTCGCCTCTCAGAAAACAATTTGATGAATATTTTTCTTTTTTCTCTCGTTCAGGGACTACGTTTGAGAATACCGTTAGTGAATCTTCTCCGCAAAATGGTTCAACTCGCGGGCTAAACCTGGTGTTGATCGTCATAGTGCTTTTAGCCATTTTTATCTTGGCAATCGCAATCGTATTCGGAATATCATTTTTTCGGCGACACCAAGGCCATAAGAAGCAAGGCAAGTTTCTTGCATTATTTGCCTATTTGCTTATCTTTTTGTTTTTTGAATTATGATAAGCCGATTAATTATCGAAGCACGAAGTGGAAGTCATTTTCTTGTCTAGCATAGTACACTTCTTAGCTGATGTGAAGTCTTTAGCTTCTTCACGAGACTAGTTCTGCCATTAAATGGTATATTTTTCATGACAAAATGCATCGATACATCCTCATTACACTCGTTCATTATCTATACCCCCTCCTACAGATTTCACTATTCAAAATAGCATAATAGAATTTGCCACTGTCTCGCATTTCGCAGGTTCGTTCGGTTTTATTCAAATGCTATTTGATTGTACCTTGATCCTCTATGTTTAAGGTGGATTCTTCGACAAGCATTTTATGGTGTTTTTGGTTTTTTCGAAGACCGAAAGTGTAGAGGAGTTCCCAAAGTCATAGACAACCAACCGAGCTCTTTTAATACCTCCAGTTTTCTACTCAATTTCAGTGAATATGTTAAAATTTGAATAAATATATATCATTAACATATTTGCAAAAATCTTCCCGAGAAAGTGGTAAAAGTATCTAAGGGGGAACAAAACCCCTTACTTCCAATTGGAAAATAGGATCTCGTCCCCTCCCTGTTGTGCTTTGGGAGGGGAGGGTGCGTAGATTGTAGATCGGAGGGTTGTTTATACCTTATCTTCGCTTGTTATTAACATGTACATTCTTCCTTTTTTTTTTTTTTTTTTTTTTTTTTTAAACGGCGACAACGTTATTGGTGTATTTTAACATGAAAACAACTTTACGGCAAGTAGTATACATTAATGTTCGTTGTTTTTAATGAAGTAATCAAATCTTATTCCTCCAGATTTTAAACGCCGAAAGTCAAGAAGTTTATTAATAAATCATCCGGAAAATTAAGTGTCCATCAGAAACTTGTAAATAATGGCAGAAAATGTTGGCTTTGATTTAAAGCTGCTCTGGATCTTAAGATTATCACTAAAATAAAACAGACAAAAACTGTGCAAATGTATCCACGAGGCTTCTCTTTCAGTGGCAGTTATCAAGTGATAATAATTATCATTTTTATTGTCTAGACAATTATAGATTTTTTTTCCTTCTTAACTCATTTGTGCCGAAAAATTGTAACCTTTTCTCTACGGAAAATTTGAGTGTTATCTCCATTGGATGCATCCTATTTTCTTTAAAGTGTGCATGTGACTTACATCCTAAAAAGTATGTTACTTCTTTCCTGAAATTTACGTTCGAGGGCAGAATACGACTCTACACTCAAACAGAAGTGCAAAAATTTGAGCTTTATGAATATATTCTAATATATCTTAATCCCGCTAAGTGAGAGAAGGTATCATTTTGCCTTACAGATCACCTTCAGATCACCTTCGCGATCGGGTCACTTGCACTTACGAGGTACCCCCGAGTTCCGAACTGCAATCGATGGATCCTGTGTTTGGCCAACAAATACAGAGTTCCGCCGAGGTTACTGTTCACCTAACCCTTTCAAAAACCGAATCTGGGCCGATCACCCATGATCCAGCGAGCGGCTGCAAAAAAGAGTGCGAGCACTATCACCTAGACGAGACTAATCGTAGGTCATGGTCAATGAGCGAGGAATGTTCAGATATTCAGGAAAAAGCACGAGAAAACACAGTGTTGGTAAGTGGTGAGAAAGGAATACAGCAGCCACTTGCTTTGTGCGATAAAAAAGTAGAAGGAAAAGATTACGTATACGCTGTTGTTCATAAAGAAAGAAAAGGCGGAGCCAGTTCTGGAGCAAGCACTCTCAAAAAATCATCGGACCGCCCTCAGGAAGGAACAGGGTTACCTGTGAACCGGAGGTCCTGTGTCGATTGTAATGATCGTTCTTCGCATCCAACTGATTCAGGACTCGACAAAAACACGGAGGCTGCAGAGAGCGAGACACCTCAGGCTGGCGGAAACAGTGAATATTTGTACGCAGCTGTTGACAAGACGAAAAAGAAGAAACCGCCAGAGGTAATAAATTTCACAAATCCTGAAAACATTCTTCCTTTTTTTTATTATTATTATTATAACTATTATTATTATCATTATTACTATTATTATTATTATTACTATTATTATCATTATTATTATTTTTCATTAACATCTTTTTTTTGCTTCAGTGCTGTTTAATCTAAGGAAAAAATCTTGATACATTCACCTCTTCGATCCAAAATATAAACCGATGACAGTCAAGCGTGCAGCTGAAATACGGCAGCTGGACTTGCTTTTAAGTATCTAAAGGTTCCTCTAAAAACTACATGGGTATATCAAAACTAATAGACAAACGAACAAAAATAAGACCAAAAACAAATCACAGCAAAAGGGCAAGACTGATTCTATCAGCTTATCATATTTGTTTCGTCTTTTTTTTCTCATTAGCTACTATGATGCTAATATTATTCGGTGTCGCTGGTTTCACGAATTGCCTATAAGATATCATTCACTTTTTATGATCTAGAAGCCCTCTCCATACCGTGGTCTTGTGTACGCTGATCTGGTCCATTCCCGAGAAAGTAGCGCAAAGTTTGTCAAAGTACGGTCCCAAACAGTATACGCCCAAATCGATCATGCCAAGACAGCAAGCGTGATGATATCGCAGAACAATCTGGAGGGAAAAAAGAAAGGCGAACATCATTGAACTCTGTTCGTTTCCAATACTAAAAATAATTTCATGAAGAACATAAAAATTAACTTAAACCTTAAAGAGAAATGATTAAAATTGTCGTGGAAAACAATTATAATTAATCATATGTCTTGTCATTACGAATAACGGACTATTTTGGTAGAAATGATGGTAACCATCATCCATTATCTATAGTGCTATTTAATAATTGCTGTTAGAGAACTATTAAAGTATATGTATACATGTAAGTGTCTTGCATGTTCCCCAACCAAGTTATCCTTTAGGATCAGTCTAACTAACAACTTTTACAAGGGTAAAATATTGTATCAATAAGTAATGTTGTGTACCAGAATACTTACAATGATTTACTTTAAGGTATATAAAAAACCGAACAAAAAAAGTAGCGTTACTTACAAGGGATAAGTATGTATGACGATTAGTTGGAAATCAGCATACTGCGCTCGGGCGTACCGAAGGAAAACCTTCAGAAGATTCAAAGCACTTTGAACTTGGAATTTAGCTCCATGTAACTGAGAGGCTTTATCTTTGTATAGTTGAACTATCGAGTGAAGTCAAGAGATTATAATAGCTTGGTAAAGTATAAAACTTTTAAAATATCCCTAATTTCTTTTCCCTTTTATAATTAAGTTATGAATTCCAAAGGTTTGACGACGTTAAATTAAACTTCAGCGTTAGCGTAGTACTTGTTTCTATTTTCAAATATCATGGTATGGTGTATCATAAAATAAAACACGGCAAATAATTGAACAATTTGATTTAATCAATGGGAAATATTTGATAACGTGATTAGATTATTCGCGATACATATTATTCCTACTAATGAAAATGACACAACAATCTGCCAGTAAATTCTGGACGGAAAGGTACTCCGACAATGTTTTATGTTGTTTGTATTGTGTGAATTATGTTATGTCTCAATCACTAAGCTTTGGAATTCAAGCGATCACTTATCTTCCAAACTGACTATTCGTGCAAAGAACATCAGTAACACCGGCTTAACTATCACAGCAGTCAAACGTCGGGCATGCGTAAGGGGATCAATTTTCGCCCGCCGCGTGCCAATTTCCCGCTCAAAATATCGAAAGAAAACTTAAAAAGGACAGCTGCTATCCTGGAAAATAGGCGAAAGAATATTGAAACATTCAGAGGAATCTTCTAACAGACTTAAAATATAGCCGTTGAGCGCAAAAATTGGCAAATTTTAAACGTTGGTCGATAAAAGAACCTTCACCGTAGAAATTTTTCATCTTATCATGATAAGGAAGAAAGTGAAACATAAGCCGTAAAATGGGCAAATTTTTTAACGTTAGTCGAAAAAGCCATCAACTCACTGATACCTCCTTTAAAAGGTAAGGAAAACTCCACTTTTTGAATACAACGGGTTATATTTGAAAAAACCATGATTTCCAGCTATGTGTAGTTGTTTGTTACTCGTATGAGGCTACATGGATTTGACAGCCTGAAAGCACGCCACCTGGTCACCATAATTTCACATATGCATAAACATTTGACTGTTATGTCCACTCGACTGTGCCGTAGGCCACTTTTTTTGTTTCCTACCGCATTTCGTCGTTACATGTGATCATTTCCTCAACAGATTCACAGCAACCTGGAATTCATTTGTCAATTGGTTAGTCACTACTACAAACTTCCTATTGCATCATACGATGTATTATCGATTCCGGCCTTTCTTGCGAAGTTGATGACAAAAAATATATGTGCGTAAACATGTATCAGTTGGTAGCGACAGTGTATCGAGTTCTTGTGTCAAGAAGAATCGGTTCAGCTCTTTCTGTAAATGGTAAAGTAGCAAAAATTGTCGATCATCAGTGTTTTATCGATGTATAAGCCTGAGCCAATGATCAGAGACTCTGGGTCTTGGGAAATTTCACACTCGATTTAGGAATATCAGAAAAAAAAAGGTTATTCATTCATCACAAACATGTTTTAAAAAATGTGAATACGAGCCGCGTAAAATCACCATGGTCCAGCTCATTTAGCAAGTTATTTGTGGCTCAGCCGATTTCTCAATAAGGACTCAGATTTTTATCTGTTCTTTGTGACAAATTAACAACATTCTTCATTGTTTTTGGCCTTCATACACACCCTCTTTCTCTGTTGCTTGACCTCGTGAACTAGTTCCCTTCATGGCTAATTTAACTGTTTTCTCGAAAAAGACCACATTTTCCACAAGTTCTCGTCAGCAACCGGCAGGATTATGAACAACTTGGACGACAGATTAGAGAAAACAAAAACAGATAGTGCATCAGAGTAAGGTGGAACCCTTTCAAAGCTCTTCCTAAATCAGTTCGAAACGTGACAAAGAAAATTAGAAATCCTTCGGAGAAGTAAGTAGACAGATATAATCAGGCCTTCAACATTAGGAAATCAGCCATCGTATCATGTGGGCTAAATGATTTAGTGAGAAAAGATAATTCTCGAGATTTGAAGCGCAGGTAAGTCGAGATCGCGTTCAGTCGACCAATTTTTTCTGGACTTCGATGGGAATCATCCGATCACTTGCCTCGGTCCTACTATATGCCTCTTAAGACGCTTTTCTGTGCGATGCGAAATGACTGTTGGAAGATTGCTATATCACTCTTCGAATATACTTATGAATGGGTGAGGATTTACATCTGGTTGACTCAGTGTTGAATCTTAAAAAATAATTTCTAAACTCTGCATTGAACAATCTTTCGGAAAATAAAGTCACTGACTCAAATATTTCTGGAAATTTTGATAAAAAAACGCTCAAAATTTCTTTATTTAGCTTCATGTAAATAACTTACTCGAATAAAAGCTTTAATTGATCAAAATCAGATTACGCATCAATTCATTTATTTAATTTTTTTGGTTTGTTTTTGTTCAAGCGACATCATCGCTGAAGTGATAGTCAGGCGGAAACCTAAGTTAGAAACGAGGTGACCGCAATCATTTTCATATACATGTCCATGTACGCGCGGGTTTAAATTTCTCTGGAATCGCTCAAGTATTCTTGTCTCAAGCAATACCAAAAAGTTAATGATTCATACGTTTAGGACTTGCATTTGTATTTAATCTTCTCGTCTAATTTTATAATAATGTGAGAAGATTCCAAAATTTCCTAATTAGAAAAGTATCGGCCTTAGTTTTTGGATTTGATATCCGATGCAATTTTCGGTTTTTCCTATTTGACCTACTTGGGTTCCGGTTGCCCTTCGATCTGAGCGGCAATTTACGCGCCTCCACTGATCTCGAATAGCCGCTAAACGCAAATGTTGTTAGGAGGATTGCGTGACCCACCAAATGTAATGTCGCAGGGATCCTTAGGTAGCCTAAGTGAAGCTTTACCCTCCCCCCGCCAAGGTGAATTGGAAACGAGGGAACCTCGCCTCCGTTTCACCTCGTAGAAGGGGAGGGTACATTGCTACCCGTAGGCTAATCCCTAGGGGGTTCACTTGTCTTAAATGACGCCCAAGAACTTGACCATCCGTAGGGGTTCACGCGTCTTGACTGATGAATATGGTGCAGCAGTAAGACAAAGGACAGTGCAATTTAACTGGGCTCCATTACCAACCTGCTGAGTCCGCGGAGACCGCGCTCGAGGTCCTCGAGAGAGCAGCTGAAATAAAGCCTATAATTTAAGCAGATACTAGAAGATCAGAATGCCAAGTCCATGACATTCACTAATAATGTGATGAAATTAGTGCATTTTACTCTGTTATTCCACTTGTCACTACTGTGTGGGATCGATCAGAATTTTAATAGCTGGTATCTGAAAATGCATCGGTTTTGACAGTTTTTCATGCGGTTTTTCGGTATTCATCTAATTTTTTTTTCGGTTTTGGACAATTTGTTCTACGGTTTTGCGGTTTCTAATAGGCCCCAATGCTCCCCTTTCTGTAGCTTCTTATCGTTGACAAATGTGTTATTCATTAATAAGCTGAATTTTTCTTCACTTTTCTCCTCAAGGAGCTTGACACCTTGGAAGAAACATTGTTACGTTATGCAAAGTACAGAGCAAGTCACTGAAGCGACACGGAGAGTCCTTGGTTTTTCAGTTTTAGATCATTGCTGTAGCTCAGTTATATCTGGTGTGACTTTAAGTAATGGTGGAAAGGAAAGAGGAGAATGTGCGTGACTATTTTGGGGACGTTGACATGGTTCGAGTCTTGAAACCGGACAGACTTCTTCTCTTTAGCCAGAAATTTATCAAACTTTCTTTAATGAGGGTATTGATAAAGAAAATAAGGATACTCAGGTACTTAATATTACTGTTAAAGTCGCTCCTTCTGTCATGATGGGATGGGATGGAATAAAAACGGATCTCACAAAGAACACACGAGTC